ATGGCGTTAACGTTTTTCCCGTATTTTACGTCGCATTCAAAATGGTGAAGTGTCTTGTTTATTTTGGTATTTGAAGCTTTAAAATCAGTGAAGCACGATTATTTGCGATTATTTGAAAATGTATCACATATTATGAAACACCCTGTATATGAAATGTGAGAGGTAATAAAACATTTGGAAATTAACATAATTTTTTTATGCTATTACAAATTATATAAGAAATAGATGAGACTATTTCATTTTATGTCAATAAAACTACAATTCTACATATCATAATTTACACTATAGTTGTAAATTATAGTACATGTAATTTTTGAAATACGTTGAAACTAAAATTAATTGAATTTACAAATTACAACCATTTATTGATTGATTGGTATTTAGTTTTTTAATTCATAATGTAAATACAACCATTTATTGATTAATTGGTATTTAGTTTTTAATTCATAATGTAAATACCATAAAAATGAGATCATCGCTACGTTGACAAGTCAATTCAATATATAATATAAATTAAGTAGACATGTAAAATAATTCATTGCCAACATAACAAGCATGTGCTTGTCACAGAAAAATAAACTAAATCTTTACAAAACTTTTAGAAATTGTAGATATGAATTAATAAGCAATACACAAATCGCGCATTTTCATTATTATCATTATCATAATTCCTTCACATTTAGTCTGGGGGTCGTATTTGATACATCATGCCTATCTGTTATTCTAAAGTGCAAACATTGTGATAGGGGTCAAAATGTCTTACCCACTAGGGGTCGAAAAGTCATGTTAAAAGGGGTCTAAGTGTCAAGGGATCTAGAAGTCATCTTAATATCGTAAGGGGTCGAGAAGTCAAGAGGTCTAAATGTCTTACTTGCAGCTGAGGTACCTACAATATATACAACTGACGTTTTGTGGATTGCAAGTCATGCTGTTTCCCTGGGGACAGTCTGCATCACTGTTGCAAGCTGAAATGGAAACAGTACATAGTATATCAAAGAACAAATATAACTGTGAAATATTATTTCTGAAAGATGGGAACATGCAGGGACTAAAATCTTTAAAATCAAACGTAGGTAATATCTCTGATTTGCTGTGACAACTGAATGCCGGGTACATACAATCTGAAGAAAATGGGTTTAAATGAAACAAGTACACCGCTTCGGCTAGAAATAATTTACCTTATGACAATGTCTTTTTTGTTATTTGTTTTTTCTAAATTTCAAATCCATTACTAACTTTGCAATTTCAAATACACTGCTGTGCTGTCGATGGTTGACTGGACATTGCAGAATCACGCTAATCAGACTCCTGCCTTGTCGATACACTCGGATAATTGCCCTGGTATTTATTTTATATTTTTGTAGCAAAATATTTACAATGCGGTTAATTATATCACATAAACTACCATCTTAACGATCAGATATATATTAATACTTGAAATTTAATGCCAGAACCTGTTTCAACTTATGTAATACCAGGAGATATATCAGTACTGCTGTACCAGTACGTTTAGTTTAAAGCAAATAAATACCAGTACTTTTACATTTAAGGGATTTTAACTTAGTTTGCACACAGATTGTCACATCAAAATGTTCGTAATGTAAAAGTGTATTAACTTTCCATGAAAAGAGCAATATATGTTATAAAAGTTTCCTTTTTCAATTTATTATGAAAACCAAAGAAGTGCCAAATGCAGTACCAGTACCCCATTTGAGCAATTATTCAGTCCCAGTACAAGTGGCAGCATATCTTGTGTGTGGCAGTACTTATGCAGTATTTGCAAAATAAATATGCAAGCAGTATTTGCAAAATAGATATGCATTAGGTACTGCAGTATCAGTACTAGTAATACAATTAAATACATGTTTGTACATGGTTAAAAATATCACTCTTACTATTTTCTTCACAATTAAAAGAGTTATTGTGTATAACTCAATTGCTATAGCTCAATAAATTACTAAACATACAAATTAATTGAACTATATTTTGACTAGCATGCCTTATATTTCAGGGCAGAATAAAAACGTTACACTATTTGATATTTTATGTGGCGCGTTATGACAGGACAGAATGAAAAGATCGGGTTTCATATGCAAGTACCAGGTACTATTTCAAGAAATCTTAATTACTTAGATTCTTTTCTAACTTCTAGTTACTCGGCAATCTAAACAAATTTTGACAATCTTATCTGTTTTTTTTCACCCAAGACATTATATATGTAACATGAACACCGTAGTTTTGTTCAAAAGCATAAGTATTTATGTTTTTCCTTTTAAATCGCAGCAGGTAAGGCTTTTCCATATTAAAAATAATTTAAATTTTCTTTTAAGGACATGCGAGGTGTTTAGTTGATGCGGGATTTGCACATCTAAAAATTAACTTCCTGAGGCATGATGTAGAAACACTTCAGCAGCTGGCCGATGTAACAGAGAAGTCATCTACAACCAACAGCGCTGTATGTTACCCTCAGTGGTCATGGCGGCAATGGAAACCCTTTCTAGAGAGGTTTTTCAAACAAATAATTGGCATAAGGTAAACTATGTTTATCTCATTCAAATGAAAATGTTAACTCTCAATTCCAGACTCTACGTTCCTGAACCATAGAAAGAGAAAATGTCTTATACATGAAAATTTAAGGATGTGTTGTTTCTGTTAATCGTTTAGTAGTTTTTTGGGTTTTTTTCTTTAATTTTACTCAAAGGTTCTTAAAAAGTTATAAGCTGTTTTTAATAAAATACTTTACAAAATTAAAAAGAAAAAACATAACAAAATGATTCTATAATCACATATTGAAAGAAAGAGTTGTCATATAGAATGTCTCCACATCTATATTATTATGAAACAGAATACATGTAAAATGTTCCGGAACAAAATATTATGCAGACGAATTCGTCGCATATATCCACCTTAATACACTTTAACGTAAATAAAATTCTGTAACAGTTGTGTTTTCTGCCGCGTTACCAGGTGTACGATCATGCTTTGTAAGAGCTTTCCAAGCTCTACCGTTCTTTTGATTTAAATATTTCTAAATAAGCTCTGAATAATGTTTATGTTTCTTTTATTTATACATTCATATTAGGAAATAAGTTTGTTGCATTTGTCGTCACGGATATTTATCATTTTTCTATTGATAGAAAATTCCAGCACTTCCGGTTCCAGTCAGACATACCGGGAGAGGTGATGGCGAGAATAACACCTGAAGGCGAGGAACATTTGATCCAAGTCTTGAAAGAACCCGGATTCCGGCTCAATTCATGTGTCCGTCCAAGGGTTATTACGCCCGGAGGAATGACAGCAAAGCGTAAGAGATATTTGTCGCGAAGTGTGCGAGCGTTTGTCAGTCAAGACAGTCAGTCATATTATCAGTGATTAAAGTGCACTGTTATAACAGCTAAGTGCTGACTAAAGTACCCAGAACTTTTGTTTGTAGTTTTAAACTACCACCATTGTTTCTATGTTCATAATACGCTATTATTTAATATTTTACATTTTCTGTTGCTTTTTATTTCACTGTCTATATTTAATATTTTAAATATTAAACGTCATTTAATTTTTCGACATAATTTGTTAACAAAGTGTTCAAATATATGACGTTTTTTAAATAGGCATATCTCGATAATTAATCTTTTGATTTTAAAACGGTTTTCACTCTAACTGTCTATATTTTTGCAATAGCCGCATAAATAAATAACGTTAAAATACGTAGACACATACACTATTGTTTGTTTATTTATTTCTTTGTACATTTTGTATTTGGAAAATACCTAACAAGGTGTCTGCAGACGGCAACGGATTAAACCTATGCGATCAGTGCATATAAAACCCAACAACGCCTTCTGTTCGTGGTCTGCAATATTTGTTTTTCAGTGAAAAAAAACTCGTAAGGATGATGAAAGGTTTTGTCCAAATTGAAGGAATATAACGTGGCAATGGTTTACGCAATTAGCGGGAGGTCTTATGTTTACATAACTTTATAACCAACTTCTTTTTAAAGTGTAATCTTAATAATTGAGTGGATTTAAGATAATTTATATAATTGCCGTTTAAAATTCTACAATTAATAACGTTAAACGTCATTTAATTTTTCGACATCATTTGTTAACAAAGTGTTCAAATATATGGCGTTCTTTAAATAGGCATATCTCGATAATTAATATTTTGATTTTAAAACAGTTTTCACTCTCTTATTCAGAAAAAAATATCTACAACAATGAGTTAAAAACCAAATTTCGAAAAAAAGTATCATTAAGACCGGCTTTCTCGCGTCGCGCCTCATATTTTTAATTAAACACATGTTCATTTGTAATTTGTAATGTCAAATCCACGCACCGACTGCCTATACACCAACCCATGGTCTATTGAATTTGGAAAACTTTGTTTAATCTTAATCATATAAATAAATATTTATGTTTTGATTCACCTTTATTTAGAATTAACCAGATACCGAATTACCTTTTTCATAGTGCATGTGTTAACAAAATTGTAATCGAGTACGAGAATTTCATTCATAGCGTGTTCCATTCATAACTCATGTGTATGTTTGAAATTACACAGGTGACTAATATTCGGCCAAACTAGGTAAAGCCTGTGCAATCTTTACTGTCATAAATAGTAAATTTCTATTATATAGCTTGTGTATCCTCAAGAGTCATAAATTGGTCACGATGTCATCTCATAAACAATTACATATGGTTTATGTACAAATAAAGTTAAAATAATTTATGATCCCTATAAACTTAATATTGTCGTGAACAACTTGATTAATAGAACAATGTGTTAATGGTTTTGTATTTTTGAACTTGTATATACACTCATTATTATATATCTCTTATACGGTTCCTGCTCTCTCTATCTCTGTTTCATTTATTTACGGTGTTCCTCACATTGCAAACTCTATAGTCCTGGAGTTACATAATTATCATGGATCGTGTAATAAGACAAAGGGTTAGGATAGTGTCTTTCTCGTCCATAACATGTCATTTGGTATTATTGTATACCTGTCTTTTTAACTTCGGTGATATGTTTGTCAGCAAAGAGCAGGTGATATCCATTACAATCGAGGACCCGACTAAAATAGTTTTTAATTTTCTCATTCTTCATGATATACATCAAGAGTAAATGATATCTAAGAAAGATTAAAATAAATCATTGTCGATGGCATCTCCTTTACAGAAACTGGCTAAGCAACAATATAGAATCGCATTCGATCCATAATTAAAAGATATGTCCCCACCTTTCAGAAAGGACACGGTTGTTGATAATCATGGTGGAATTCTGGTGTATGTCAGCAATTAGGAGGCAAGACCTCGAGATTAGTGGTGTTGATTGCGTCATGGTAGAATCGAGGATTCATCATATAAGTGGAAACTCGGGCAATATGACAGAAAATAAATTAACCCTTTTTATTGTTGGAACCAAAAGTGATAAGCCTTTGCCAACAATATAGAGCCGGGCCATCCTGCACTTCAAACGTTGTCTTGCTATCCCAAAATAAAATACTAAACAGTTCTAAAAATAAGAGCTTTTTCAGTGGAATAGGATTAAAAGAAAGTAATTTTACCAGGAAGCTGAGTATATGTAGCATTAAATCCTGCGTAAACCCTTGAATAATCTGTGTGGAAATGAACGTAGAGGATGTTTGATGTTGAGGTAAACACTGGTGGTATATAAGATCCACAATAGGTTCCGTTTAATTGATCTTTGTCAGTCATTCCATGGTAAATCTGTATCATAAAATGATGTTATTATAATAACGTTAATTCGGTTCTTAGTGAATATCAAAATCAGTTATCATATTCAAAATAAGAAGAAGGAAAGTACATATAACATCAATAAACCAATTGTTACCAACAAAATCACTTCTTCACTAATAGTACTTTCTTTTTATTTCAATATGTTTGCTTTCCATGTACATCCTTGTATCGTAGGAAAGAAAATTAAATAAAAATGTAAAAGTTCGGTTTCTATGTATTTCATCATGCAGGCCAATTGCCATTGTAATTATATTACTGCGCACTAGAACTGTGCATGATTATCCGGCAAGTCATTCAAAGTTAATAACATATTATTCCTTCTAATTATAATTCACTTTTTTTTCAACCAATTATTTAAATTCAACAGCCATTAAACCCCAAAATGCCTTATTTGTTTTTGATAGTTTAAACTAAAAATAACATTTGATATGTCGTATCAATCAAACTATTTTTATATATCAAGTTTTAGCACACTTGATTTTTTTATGCCATTCCAATAAATCTGTTTATATATCATATTATTTACATCATAATTATACATTACATGCCATATAAAAAGTATGATACAACAGTGACACTCAATTTCATCATGAAAATATAGAATACAGTACATTAATTTATACATATAAAATTACTCTGGAAGAAATTGGCAAGTGTTGGATTTTGCCATCCCACTTTTTATATAAACAAAATAAGTGCAAAGCCTTAAACACTCTATTGTTAATATCAGTGAACTGTGTAGCAATCTTTTGAGAATTGAAGTGCACAATGAAGTTAAAACTTTAAAGTTTGTATGAACACAGTGATAAGACAGAGAAACCCATTGTTTGCTGAGATCCAGATAACCTCTAGTCATACCTTGATATAATCAAAAAGACAGCCAGAGTGGTATTCCAATTGAAATCTTGTAAATGTTAGTCGTATAACATTATTGTCACCAGCAACTATAATCCATCGACAGTCCTGGTTATTGTCATACCGCCCGTAACCGTCACTATCTTTAGACCGTAGCGAACCAGTTGTTGAATTAAGTATACCACCACATCCATGACTCTGACCTTGAAATTATTAAAGAACAGTGAGCTGTTAGTGGTCATTTTGACTTACTTCTATTTCTCCTAAACTTAATATCAGTTATGATATTTATTAAAATGACAACAGTGAAATAATGTTATGATTTTTTATTAATTTATTTTTTATAAAAATATATTTAACTTGTTTGGTAAAATATGTCATATGAGAAAAGTCTTGCAATGAGACAATATGAATAGCATCATCTCTCTGTATAAACTGGATTCCCAATTTGAGAAAAGATCACCAAATATGCCCACCTTAATTATTTTATCTTCAAAAAGAAAAATGATTATGCTTTTATTCTATCTCACTTTACACTATTTCCTATTAGACAGACTTGTCAGCCCAGCGCATTATTACACTATATACGGATGGCAGAAGAAAAGGAATGCTTACACGTCATATGACTTCAGAAGTGATGAACATAAACCAAATGACGTCATGAATGAAAATTACTCAGCCTAATGTAGTTTAAATTTGTAATTAATCGATTCTCTTTGAATTAGCGAGATTTGAATGGATATATAGATATATTTTTATCCTTAAGTTATAGTATAATAATACACGATCTATTGTTCAAATGCCTGGTAAGTGGGTATATTATATATGTGACATCTGAAATGAGCCAAAACCTGATTTTCAGCTGTATTTAAGGTCTCACAACTGGATATTTTTATCAACTCAAATTTCAATGTGTGTTCCACGGATTTGGTATACAAGTGTTTTTTATGATTTCATTCATGATCAATACAATTTTATAATACAAACATACTTATAAAGCACATGTCTTACATGATTATAAGTCAATAAAACTTCTTTTGTCTAGAACAGTTACATTTCATTATTCTCTGTTGGCTAGCGATAATTTTAAGCATGGAGGAGCACGTGACCTGTTATCGGTACATGCAGAGCACGTAATCTGTAAATCGTACTTGGTAAATCAACGTTAATTTTTTAAAATACATAAATAAAATCTATACTTTATGCGCATATGGTAGTTTCAAATGGGAAAGAATATTCAATGCAATAAAAAATTATAAGAATTAAATGTAAACATAATAATAGTATTGTAGTTTGTATCATCTAAACGTTTGGATCAGAAATCACGAGTAGGTGTCCTTCTAATCGACCCTCTTTAATATCCGGTTTTGACGATCACAGCTCTCGGTAGTATTTCTTTTATCGATATAAACGTTTTTGTACTTTTTTTTTTCAAATAATTTTGAAAACAGTTATCCTTTTACCTCATACATACGCGAAACAAGGCACTTTCGACTCCCAACTTTTAGGCCTCAAAAAGTGAAAAACTGTCCTGTTTGGGCCCCGAAACACATGTTTTCGTTTGATATATGTTGATTAAAAAGTGATCACTTTTCGGCGCTGTTCTCATCAAAAAGGAAAATCAGGGGTTTGCCAGAAGGGGGTTGTACCCCCTTTTGTTTTAGGGTTTTGAAAGGGGGCGGCAGCCCTCTAATCGCTAAGAAAATTTTGAACATGTGACAGGCTAAAAATGGGCCCAGGTCGATCGTAAGATAACGTGTATCCATCGATGAAAAGACTTTTACTCTATCTCAATCATTTGAGAAGTTGCAACACTTTGAAATCAGTTTTGATGGAAAAAACAATGCAAAAAAGTAATTTTTGCAATTTTGAGACGTCCCCTAGTTGCCATTGCAACAGGAAATTAAAGATTGAGCATGCTGTTACCGATGCTATAGTCCAGTCAACATTTGTGCCAAGTTCCATCAGTACTGAAGCATTTTTTATAGTTTCATAGCAGTTTGAACTTGTAACAGGAGGCTTTTTAATGAAAACGGCCATTTTCCACCATATGCTCATGCGTTAAAGGTTTAAATAAAATATCAATTAATTGTAATTTTTTTCCTCGCTTTTTGTCCGTTTAAAACAACAGTCGAGTGTCTTTTGTTACATGCAATATATCAAAATACAGATGGGAAAAGTGCTTGTTTTGACATGTCATTTTTCAGCAACAATGTGTCATGCTTAAAAGGGATATACAAATCATTTTCTCTATATTAGAAATATAGCTATTTGAAAACGAGCTAGAATAGCTATCCATGATCAAAAGCCAATTCTTTTGCGCTGACAGTGACATAGATTTACGCAAGAAGAATAAGACTAAAAATGACTTAGTAAAACAAACATGTTTCCATTTATTAAATACACATTTTTGAGGAAAAGATATACAGTCGACTCTACTGATAACGAGATGGGTTTTAATGAGGTACCGCTCAAAACGTACATTCTACTATGTCACGGTCTTTTCCCTTTCATTTTATATCGTTTAAGATAAGATCGGTTTAAATGAGATACCGGTATAAATGTACATATATTCGCCGTCTCATGCGTATTTACCCGAATTTAAACGAGGTCACACCATTGGCACGTCCTTCTCTTGAGAAATGGTCAGTTAAGAGATCAATAATTGAGCAATGAGCGATCAATTGTGTCAGCCTTTTATTGTCAACAATCCGGGATAAAATGTGCTATTATGACGAAATATTATGAAAAAACAACTTTTTTGAGAAATTTACATGCATGAAATGACTAATTTCTTGCATTGCTATTCGGTGTTTGTGAGAAATACACTGCATACATTTTGAAAGCGGATTTTAAAATGGGTGAACATAATAATATAAACGCACACGGTCAGGTGTAGTTTGTGTTAAAAAATTATTTCTTAAGATTCCGTGATAGCTTGATAGCTGTTTTTAATTATATATTTACATATGTTTGATTCAAACACATTTTTACGGTAAAAATGAGTGAAAGATAGAAATGAACGGGTTGCGTTTGTATACCAAATATCATGAGGCTGTGATGTTATGAAAATTCCCTACTATTGACCATTTATGTCAAAAAATTAACTAGGTCGATAAACAGGAAGTGGATTCGCGACAGACCTGAAATTAATTCCCTAGTCATTCGGCCATGGGCTAATGCTGTTTACAAAATATTAAAAGGATGTGATAAGTAGTTGCTGAGAAAAATGTTACGGAAATTGTCAACAATTTAACTATAAACATGAAGTGGATGAGCGACAGACCTTAAATGGAATCCCAAGGTATGGGACCATGTGTTTATGCTGTATACCAAATATCAAGAGGCTGTTGCAGTTTGGGATAGTAAAACTAAACCAGACGAATTTGATATAGAAAATGTCAATTTTAAGTCTGCTGAATTATAACCTGTACAAAAAACTTGTTTCTATCTCAAATATTATAATGATACTTGCTTATTACTTCCTAAAGTAAGACGCTTCGAACGCAAACAAATTCTGCTATATTAAATGTTCAATCACATATCTCCACAATATCTTTCCTCCATGGTTCCCGACACAAAAGGATAAATTTCAGTATACAACTTACGAAATACAAGTAACACTAAATTATTTTCTTCCAAACCCAACTCTTCTCTAATTCATTTTTATCATCTTCATCATCTTCAATTAAAGACTGGTACAAACTCCCAATCGAACTTAGAAATTCACCATCACTTGCAATTTTCAAACAAAAGATGTTTAGAATGTCCTAGGTCACTACTATGTAGATGACAGAAGATATCAAATATTACATAAACGATTAAGGACACTAAATGTCTTTACAGCTCTTGATGTCAAAAACATAACAGAAAGCATTTTTTGTGTATGTGGAGATATTTAAAATACAGATCAGTATTTCCTCCACAGTTCAATGTATCTTGATGAACAAACTGTCCATAAAACAATTGTAAGTCTATAGAGACGAGAATAAAGATCATCAATGCAAAAGCAAATCACAACTGTTACATAAAATGCTTTATTCTACGGCGATAGTTCTCGTGCGGATGCTCTAAACGAAACAAGTGTCTCAAGTATACACAAGTATGCACAAATACAAAACACAATTTTATAATAATATCTTGTTTTAAAAAAAAGGGAAAGGAACTCTCGACAAATATATACAAAACACAATTTTATAATAATATCTTGTTTTAAAAAAAGGAAAAGGAACTCTTGACTCCTCTGAACACATCTGCGGATGTTTCAAAATTCAAAATTGTACCAATTCATTTTTAATGTTGAATTCTGCTTAAGCTGGTGCTAGGGGAGTGGACGGTAGTTTGCACTTTACAGTACCGATCATGAACAGGCTCAATAAAAAAACCGAGTCTGCAACATTTTCAATTATGTTGTGCTGGACTTTCTTTAAAGATTCTTGCTTTCTCTATTCTATCGTCACATCAGCGTTGTTTGTGCCGTGTGGAGGCTGTAAAAAGTAGCCGCGTACATTCAATTAGAGATGTTATATTTCCAATCCTTAAAGATCGTTCAGCACGACATAATCGTTGTGCTTGTGGTAATTAAGTTATTTCTATTTGGCTTTTTACTTGTTGGGTGGTTCCAGTATTCCTCACTTGAATACTGTTGAATCACCCTTAGGATATGTGGCCTGATTTTTGAATTTGTCTTTTGACGTATAATCTGTGACATACAGGCTTCATAACCTCTGATCCCCTTTCCAAATTCCATTTTATTTAGGTACGCCCATTGTGTTCTCGTTTAGGGCACACGTATTTTTTTACTTGGGGACCATGTGCCACTTCTCATGGAATGGCACTAACATGTCACATTAAAGGTTCCATGATAACCGCCATATGAACACATCTGCGGATGTTTCAAAATTCAAACTTGTACCAATTCATTTTTAATGTTGAATTCTGCTTAAGCCGGTGCTAGGGGGCGTGGACGGCAGTTTGCACTTTACAGTACCGTCCATGAACAGGCTCAATCAAACCGAGCCTGCAACATTTTCAATTATGTTGTTTTGGACTTTCTTTAGGGATTCTTGCTTTCTCTATTCCATAGTTGTAAAGTGACTTTCTTTGTTTCTTTCTCTCGTTTCCTATTACTTCTTATTTGTCCTTTTTACTTTCTCTTCAATCCACATGCTCTAATCATTCAATTTTCTCTACATATTCGGAAAATAGATAAATCGCTAGACTAAGCAATGTTTATTTTTTATTATTAATTCTTTTATTCATTTTATTTCATTTATTTATTTTGTTTCTTTTTTTAAATATTTAACTCCTATTTGTGCCTAACCTGAGAATCTTGAATATAGTTCATGATATAGTTTGTAAACGTCGACATGCACAAGTCGACATGAAATGTCTAGTTTAGTTTGTGTATTGAATATTTTGTTACCATTTATATAGAATTTGTAAAATACTGATTCAGAAGAGAGTTTTCAAAAAAGGTTTTAAAGCTGCTTGGTAAAGCCGTAGATTTTATTTTATGTACCTTCTGATGTAAATGCATAGATAACAGATAAATATTGTTTAAACTAATTAAGGCTGTAATTGCAGAATGAATGAATGGAATTACAATAGGGCTTTATTTTGTCGCATTTGATCTAAACTAAAATTTAATCTCTCAGTGTTTCATACATAATACAAACAGGAAGTATATATACAACAATCATAATACAAAACAGCAGTAAATTGCAAATCATATAAAGAACAATCAATATAAAAAACAATTAGGTTGTTAATCTGTTGATCATACAATGCTTGTAAAATATCGTAACTTCGCAGATCAGAAATAACTCAAGTTAAGAAAGTGTCCTGCATTTGATAACTTCTGACCAGAAATGGAAGGGGGGCTGAAAAAAGCTGGGCCTTTTTACTGGGTTTAAAAAAGATGAGCCCCTAACGATGAGAGAAAAAATTTAAACGGGGTTTTTTTTTGGGTTTTCCCCGGAGAATAAAATATCAACACAATTTG